CACATTTTATGCTATTCTATAATATTGACCTAAAGTGTACCCGCAAACATAGAAATTTTGGCAGAAACGCTAGGTGATTTGTTGAGTGTGCAATAATGAGCAAGCGGAATCAACCATTGACAACTGCTTATTGCGTGGCGTTGCAAGGCATTTGCTAACTCAGCTTCCATTTTAGCCCATTGGATTGAATTAAAGGTGCAGTCAATGCATGTCAAACATTCAAATGTTAATTTAAGGCGACAGTAAATATGTAGCATTGATACATCAAAACCACCCTTGCATTTAGGCAAATTTGGATGCTATTTTAGGCAGAGAAGAGATAATAACATCCACGTATTTGCGACGTAGCAACTTATAAGCGCACATTACCACTGATTACAAATACTTGTTCACAATTCAACGTTGGCAACAGCGATATTTGGTATTGTAAGGGACAGTATAATTCGATGTCTGCTACACTGCGTTATGTGATGGGACCAGTAAAAAGACAGTCTGTCAAATATAGGAGGTTTTTTTGACGTTAATTTTGCATTATCGACTTGTGTTTGCACATCGTTATAAGAAGTGTAGGCAGTGTTGAATTGCGTAAGTGAAAATGGCGTGTTGTATCGAAACTGCTACCAGTAAATTCTATAAGATTCATTCCTAAAAATCCTGGCAAAAAAAATTTTTCTTTTTTGGCAGTACAGGTAGAGTAGGCTTATTTGTATACACACATTTCACTCACATCTGAAACACCACTTTTGCCTGCTAATATAGATGAGGTGAAGCACAAATTGCCACACTGCCATTCATTGACCCGATGCTAACTACTATTTATGTGTATGTAGTTGCAGATACTGCACGATGATTCTCTCTCTTTCCCCTATATCGACAAGGTGGTATTACTCTCCCTCCTTTTGAATCCTCTCCTTCCACACCCGTTCCTGCTTATTTCTCTGATCACTGCCCCAATTGTGTGCTACGACTCAAATCCTCCCACTATTTTCTAGCCTCGTAAATAAGCACTCCACAAATACAAGCCATTCTCCACCGCTTACCGGTGTGACGGTGGTAAGCCCAATCATTAGCACTGAGGAGACAAGAAGTTAGAGGCAACGCCCCACACCTTGTCCGTTACGATGTAGACGGTGTGGCTGGTTCAACTTTACCTCCATTTTAAGCGCGTGATAGCATTGTGTTCCGCAGCGTATCCTTTCCTTCTTCGGTTGGTCGATTTCCAGTTTCACGCATTCTTAATAATTGGCCGCTTCTTTCTCCCCTACGTTTCATAGCATTCTCTTACCATATCCCTATCCATGGAAAGATAGATGGAAGATAAAGATAGAGGAATGAGAAATGCTTGTGATGCCAAACGGTCCTGTCGGTGGTAATGCAGGCAGCTAGAAGTTTGTGAATACATACTGATGTGAACACCATGGCCATGTCGCAGTGATTCAGCAGCTGCCATTTCACTAGTGGGTACTGATCTACGCTGGCTCCTCACCTGATGCACCTGTGCATAAATGAGGGGCCTATTTAATACGTACAAACTAATATTTCATTGTCAAATTAGTAGCATTGCTTAAACAAACATTAACAATG